ATGAAGAATACGATTGATGAAGAGCTGGAAAATTGATCAACCAACGATTAGATTGACGCTCCCGATCCAACGTATTCTAGAGAGAGAGAGGCCGGCTTCCAAAACTGCCGGCCGGCGATTGTGGTTGATTGTCAACTCACTTTATTTGGTTGACTCAAATTCTAAAATTCCAAGTAATATACAACTCTGCTGCATGATGTACAAGCATTTAAAATAACAACTTTCTGAAACTTGTAAATATTGCTCTGGGAAAGAAATTTGGCGGGAAATATTATTTTCTTATTATACTGAGGAGGTACCGTTAAAGACAAAAAGAATAAGCTCATTATTAGTTAAATTATTTTACAAACGTTTAAAATAACAAAGATACTAACAGTATAACAAAATATATAATCTGTTGCGTGTTAGGTGGTTTTGGCCTATTTTTATGTGATTTTAGATCCATACCAAAATGAGCAATATGTCTTAAAATAGTTTTTTAATTCCTTTATATTTAGTTTTATATTTTTTAAATTAAAAAACCAAAAAATATCCAATTTCACTCCCTTCTTGAGTCACCTCTTCTCCACCTTAACCTTACCCTAAAACTCATCATCATCAACCTTGATGCACCATCTCAACAGTCGAGATCCACACCAATGCGATTGTTTACCATCTTTACGCTTCATCATCATCTCCATCAGATACCAATGCAACTAGTAATAAATGTTAGATCGCTTTCACCAAAATCGAAACCTATGCCCTGGGTTGAATGCATACTCAACAATGGTAATGAAGGTTATATTGATTTCCCCAAAACCAAAGTTTGGTGGCGATGATAATGGTATGAGGGAAGTTTAGCTTGTCTTGCCTCTCATTCCCCATCTTGAGTATGTCGTCTCTATAACATCCAACAACCATGTTTCATTTCCGCCTACCTTCTTTACAATTGATCGGTGGCTTATTTGAGCCTCGATTACTACATTCCTGCTTTCCATGGGGTTGTTTCCTAAGTTATTCTTGTAACCACATGTAATGTCTCTATTTTCAACCCAAAATTTTCAATTCAAATATGTCAGAGTATAGCTACATTATGCGGAAACATGTTGCAAATAACCTGGTTGTGGGACTTAACCATGTATGTTGGGCATACGTGGAGTACGCATGGCGTATGTGAGTCTGAGACAAACCCTAGTTTTTAGGGTTTGCACCCTATTTAAGGACCTTAAGCCCCCCCAAGCCCTTTACCTATTCAGCCTCCATTTCCCTTGTTGTGTTAATCTCGAACCCTAAGCCCCCTTTAGTGCATTTGTGAGTTTCCTTGAGAACTTTTGGTGTTCTTTAGAGTCTTTGAATAAGAAGGAATCTAGGGAAGAAGCAATGATGTAGAAAGGGTTTATAGATCCCAAAGTTTGGCAATATTTATGGCCCATTGAAGGTATAAAGTTTAAACCTTGATCATTGCATACTTAGGTTTAGGGTAGAAAATGGTATATTTTGGTCCCATAGTTTGGATTCTTGGAGTTGAGAAACTTCAGGCCATATAAGTTGTCCTTTTGAGCTATTGAGGATGTTTTGAGTCATAAAAATCGGACCTTGATGGTTAAGCCTCAACCATGCAAGTGTTAGGAACCATACAAGTGTGCTTAAAGCATAAAGTTTGCGACTTTATGGCTTGGGACGTTTTTAGGGGCCTGGATCTAAGTTTTGAACCTTAGGTTTTAATAGATTAAGACATAGAAGTGAATATGGGTTGGTAGACCAGCAAACCATGCGTACTCAAGTGTATGTTGCGTGTACTGGGACATCGCCTCGACCCTTGGTCAACACCAACGTACGTTGGGCATACAAGCCAAGTACGTCGTGTGTACGTAATCAGTAGGCCTAAAAGATTTTTGGGCTCGTTTGGTGATGGGCTTTAGACTTTAGTAAGTTGGGCCTCGGGCCCACCTGATCGTGGCAAGTCATTTTCGGTCCTAAGGCCATGTTTAGGGTTCTTGGGCCATACTGGTCCTTAAAAGCCCTATAGTGGGTTTGGATGCCTTTTTGGGTTTTGTAGATTTAGGCCTTGGAGGAAACGAGGCCCAATAAGGCAAAGGTAAATGAGCCATTTTGCCTTAAGTCAAGAATTAGGGTTTTAGACCTTCGGGTTAGAATGTGACTTAATTTCTAATTAGGGTTTTATGATTATACGATAGGGAGATGAGTTCACGAGTTATCCGCTGAGTGCGATTTGATACCCACAGTCCGAGGTGAGTCTTCCTTCGTAGTAGCTGTGGGTCGAAGGCACAAAAGCCAGCCCACTAGTTTATGTTATAGTATGATGATTGTCTTTGTGATAATTATCAGTTATGCCTATATCTTCTTGATAACTCTGTAATTTCTGTTATGATATTATGTTGTAGTAGTAGTGTTGAAATAGACCCAGTAACCGGTTGAAATAGACCAAAGGGGATTGCAAGCACCTAGATATACTTGATAATATCCGGTTGAGATAGACCAAGGGGTAGGCAAACACTCAAATATGCTTGGTAATATCCAGTTGAAATAGACCGAAGGGGCAGGCCAACACCCAAATATATTTGGCAGTATGTTTGTTAGTATGAGGTATTTTGGGGAACTCACCAAGCTTTGTGCTTACAGTTTTCAGTTTCTCTTTCAGGTACTTCTAGTTCAAAGGGGAAGGGTCCGGCCTGATCGCACCACATCACTCTATGTTTTTCTACACCTAGTGATTTTGGGATTTGTACTATGATAACATGATTACAATATGACTCTTTTGAATATTTTGATATCAATTTCTTATGAATTGAATGAATTTAAAAACAAAATTTTATCTATATTTTTTGGGATGTTACATAAACCATACTGGAACTTGGGTGTTACTTATATATATTTGTGTTGTATGTGGTACTTTAGGGAACTCAATAATCTTTGTGTTTACAGTTTATGTTTATGGTTTCAGGTACTTCCATTTTCAAAAGGAAGGGTCTGACTTGATCGCACTGCATTCCCTGGAGTTTTATTCCGCATTGAATGTTTGCAAATTACTCTGATGTTTTGAAAATACTTTGACTCTGATCGTCTTTTAGAACAATAAATGAATGACTTTAACTTAATTAAGATGAAAAATTTTACTCGTATTTTTGAGACGTTACAATAACTAATTTTATTATTCTTTATCTCTTTCTCTTTTTGTTTGCAGGCCAATACAATTCTTGTAGGTTTGTGTCACACCCTAAAACCGTAACGGCGGAAATGTTCTGGGGCGGAGGACATCATGAACAGTATCACAAAAATGCATAATAATAAAACAAGCAACAACATCCATCGCATTAATAGAATATTTAAATACATGTGTGTTCTTTTGTAAGTTTAAATGACACCAAAAATGTACAATCAAAATAAAGACGAGTCTTGGATCTACTTCGTCCTTCAAAAGTTGCATGGGTGTACTTGTCTTACTGGTTCCCTGAGAATCCAAGTTATTTTGAAAGAGAGTATTAGCATAAAAATGTTGGTGAGTTCATAAGTATTTTAGTGTCATTGTTTGTATATAAATGTTTGTAATAGTGCAATGTAAGTGCTTGTAATTGTTTGTAAATGTTTGTAAATGTTTGTACTTCCTAGAAAATCCTATATTTTCTACTTAAATGTAGTCTTCTACCAAGACCCGGCTATTTGTATGTTTGTTCTTTTGTGAATGTATGAGTTTTCCCCAAGTACAACTATTATTATCAAAATATAGTTTACATTATCATTTATGTGAGAAGATCACAAAGTAAATGCAATAGGGAAAACAATGTTTTATCTCAACAGTGGCACTACTGACTGGGGTTGATAGAATAAAGACTCCAGGTATTATTAAATGTGTTATACCCCTTGGGGAGTCTTATTGCCTTTAATTCTTAGTCGGTTAATTAAAGGTTTAAATGTGAACTGGTTGTAACCATGCTGATCGATAACTGAATACCTGATGACCTTTTGGTGTCATAAAATAGTGAGGTGACATTTTGTCACCCCTTGGCCTTACCAGCTGGGACTGTAGCTAGCAGTCGGGGTGTAGGAGTGTTTGTCCCGTATAGATCTATACACACGATGCCCGCTCTCCCTCCAGGAGACTCTGGTTACAATGTGATACAACAATGTATTGTTGTATCAGAAGTAGTATTCACATTCTAGTTATCGTATTCTAATTTTTGTATAGTATATTCTCATGTATAGTATTGTGTAAGTTCCCTTAGTTTCTCTTCATAGTATGTTCTATCGTATAATGTATAGTATGTATTGTTTCTCGTTATAGTATTCTCTATATGTTTCTCTTTATAGTAAGTATTGACTCATGTATGAACAGTCTCTTTGTACGTTTCATTGTATTAGAAATAGTGACTAATAACTTCCTAAACTATACTTATTATAGTTTACTAGTAGCGTTGTTTGTATGACTGAGTGTGTTGAACTGAAATAAAAGTTTTTATGTGTATACATATATACTATATATATAACTAAGGATCAAATGATACTCGGATAAACAACAGGGTACTCTAAGTCCACAACCAAACAAGGAATAGGAAATAAAGTGAGTTGTCAGTCCTAAGTCCTTCAAGCCTTACTTATATAACTATATATGCAATAGACACGGTTTTGACAATATATAAGTTTGAAATAGTTAAAAGAAAAGGGTTTGGCATATAAAAACAAGTTTGGTAAACAGTTTAGTATTGTAAAAGGGTTTGATAACCATTTTGAAGTAGTTTGTTTGATAACACAGTTAAAAGTATAGTAAATCCATATGTTTGATAGTTATTAATCACACGTGATTTATGTAATAACTAAAATGTTTCAACTTGTATTCCACCCCCCCATAAAAGATTGTTGGGTGTCAATTGGAGTCTTGAGCACAAATGAATCCTATTTAACATACAATTACACATATATGAATATATTTAATGTATATAACCACTAATGGTGATAGGGACACGCCTTAGGGACATAAAAAACACTTACAATTAAGTGTTACCAACACATATGGTTGCACATAAGGGGTGCATGACCCTATATTGGAGTGTAAGGCCACAAAATCAAGGGTTTTGTGTGTGTGCGGCCGCACACCCAGTGTGCCAAAAACATGTTTCCAAGCTTTAGGAAAGTTCTAAGGAAGGTGTTTTGACCATTTCCCGACCTTATTGTAAGCTGAATGCCATTTTAGGCCTTACAAAAGGTGTGTACAGCCTCACAAGGGGTGTACGGTCGTACACCCTTGATGAACATGTAAAAATGGTCGAAAGTGTATTTCAAGTCTTTATTTTGCATTCCCTGAGTGTTCTTGATCAAATGTTGGCTTAGAACATGAGTTTTGAGGCCATTAAGCACCCAATTAGAGGGGTGTACGACCACACAAGGGGTGTACGAACGTACACTCCTCATTGATCAAGTTTTGGACGTTTTCAAATGAATATATTCAGTGAGTAACAAGCATATAGAGTGGTACTTACAGTAGAGAAGTGTTTAGGGGTGTTTGAGGTCCAAAACTTAGAAGATGAGTTTGGTGTTCTTGGTGTTCTTGAAGAACACTTGAAGATCTAAACAAAATGAGTAGATTCTTGGATGAAATGATAGATTCTTATTAGGTAGTGTAATGAATCATCAAATGGGAGGAAGAACTACTTACAATTTGCAGATCTAGGAGTGGAAGATGGTTAATACTTGAGAGAAAACGAGTTCTTGCCTTGGAGGAGTGGAAAAAGTGTTTAAAATGACCAAGGGCCACATATATTGAGGGGAGTGTGCGGTTAGGGTGGGTGTGAGGCTGGGTGTACGGTTGCGATGGGTATGTGGTCGTACAAGGTGTGTGCGGCTGCACACACCTTGTGTTGGTGTGTTTAGCTCAATTGCAATGTGTTACACTCATAAATACTCATCCCCGGACCCATACCTAGATTATACTTGGCTTAGAACACTCAAATAGACCATAAAACCGCGCTAAAAGATAACAAAACGAGGCTATATTTGGTAGATTTGAACAAGTGTACAAGATAAAACTTTCGGGTTGTCACAGTTTGAAACAAAAGTGTAATGTCAATACAACTGTTCAAAAGGTAGAACGTTGAATAAAAGTATTATATAATACACATGTGATATTTTGTTGGTCAATAATAGTAGGTTGAAATTAAAATTTTCATCTTTTTGAAGAAAAGTTTTTGATTATGGGAGGTTCGATGGTTGACGGGTTCTTGAGTGGGGAAACAATGTCATACATGTCATACCTCAGTACCAAACAAATTGGTAAGAAGTTTGAAATCTTTGTGGAATCTATCAAATTGTAGCATTGTACTTTTATTTTTTCCTTATCAGGACAATATACATTGAAAAATATACTCAATAACCACATTGTAAATTGCTTTGTAGTTGGATGTCATTACTATATTTGGTTAGATTTTTTGAAGCACAATGTTGTAGTCGAAAGAAATGAATATATAATGTTGTAATAAACAAAATGATGGAACTATGTTTCAGTTTCTTGTATTTACTTAGGGGGTATTTGATTGTGACCTGACTCGGTCCAATCAAGACCTTTTTTTATGACTCGGTCCGGGTCAGTTGGTCAGCTTATTTGATTAGAGTTCTTTGCACACCTGATTCGGTCCTCATAGAAAAAGTAGCTGACTCAGTCCTTCGCACTAGTTTCATTTATTTGCCCTTCTCTATCTCTTTGCTCCTAAACAACGTGAATTCTTCTTTCTCCTTCTCCTTCAATCCACGAACAACTTCTTCTTCCACCACTACTAATCCTCTTCATCTTTAATCGATTTTGAAAGTGAGTGCTAAGCGACTTATTAGGTAATATTCACGTTTGATAAATTGAAAACAATCTATCGAGAATAGCCTCAAATTCACCTTGGATTTTCATATGCCCACTAAATGTTCGATCACTTGCCTAAGTGAGTCTTGTAGTCTTTATAATCAAAGCAAGGCATTTATATTTATGGGTTCTTGATTTATACGACACATGTGCCTTCTTTTTTATTTTCCTTTTGTTGGATGTTTTTTATATGGTCTGGGTGGTGGGTAATGACTTTCAATCATCAATCAATTTAACTCTTATGGTCGAAAAGGTGTTGAGTTGTTTCAAACCCATTGAATTTTATGTATCGTTGCATGGAAATGGATTATGGTGTTAACGAATCAAGCTTTGAAGATATTGGAAATGGTGGTTTGATGATGTATTATGGGTTTGTTAAGGAAAGTCAAGGTGAGTGTTATGGGTCTCCTAGATCGATTTTGTATGGGTCTTGGGATGAGAATGAAGATGAAGAAATGGTGAAGAATTGTTACACACCAACTGTTTGACAAGATTGTTGCTAATAATGTTTGTTATTTTTCTAGTTTTGTTTAGTGTGTTTTATGAACTAATTTGTAGAATTAATAAAAATTTTGGGAAGTAATCTTGAGACATGGGTTCTTAGATCTACCTATGATGACAAACATAATGGTTGCGTCTTTCCAGAAAAGCTTTAAGATAAAGAAGTCTTCATGCTCTAATAACTGGTAAATTCAAAATAGTTTGTGACTTTTTAGTACATGTTTACAAAGAGTATTTGTAATGGTAAAATTGAAATAAAAACTGTTAACTGTAATTGAATTTAACATTTGGGTATTACAAATCAATTTGATATTCAATATTTCATAGTTAAGTGTAATAGGCATATGCAAAAACTAATGTAACATGTGTTTTCAACACAAAACAAAACAGAAGAGTAAAATGGTTATTTCCAACACTCAACACAACCAGTCACATACGTAATCAAATAACATGATTTCAATCATAGCAAGAAGCACTCAGAGCTTCAGGCCCAGTTAGGTATGACTCAGTCAATTCTGATTGAGAAACTATCAAACATGGCCTTAGCCGTAATGATGTCTTTTGTTGGTTTTGGGGCCGTATCACATGTAGTGTTTTATTTCGATTAAATGAAGCAAAGATCCATATAGCATATTCTCTAAAATTTGAGTAGATGACCATACTATCCTTAAATCTAGAAAAGATTGTAAATAAATGTTTCTTTTTTAATATACATGAAAAATCTATATGAACAACAAATTTTTTTTCGGCCCAGGCGGAGCATGGGTTCACCCCTGTTATTATTATTTTAGATCAATATTTGCGGTTTACTTTTGCCACAAAATAATAGGGCCCTCTACCTATTGTTTATATCCTTATGGACCTTATAGTAAAATTATTATTGGGCCTCAATAGTAGTTGATTAGGTTACAGGGGTTCCGGAGTTGGGACCAACTCACAACGAGCTGACCAATGGCTCAGTTTGTCAGGCCGCTAATCGTCTCGCCGGCGTCCAAATTGCCTTTCCGGCGCTGCATAAACTCTCTTGTCGACTCAAAAGTGTTGACTTCTTCCACCGGAGGATTCATACACCGTCGGTTCTTTACGGGAACAAGTCCTTCAATTCTTATCCACCGGAAGAATCTCCATTTGTCTCGATCCCGCGGTCTACGTCCGGCCGACGCCCCGTTACCGCCCGAACTCAGTCAGAGCGACAACGAATCGAATTCTTCAGATGCAGAACGGAAGAGCCGGAACGAGAAGAAACGACAGGCTCGTCGCTCTTTTCGCTGGGGTATGGAGCTTGCCGACTTAAACGATTCTCAAATTAAACGCATCCTCAGGTAAAATCCAAACAGTTCTCGGTTTCAAGTAAAATAGTGAAGCAGTATGTGTGTAGCCGAATACAAATGCATAAGAATACTGAAATTCTACCAACTTCACTCATATACTACTGCCTCATTAAATGTCCCAATTGAGTTTCTCATTGAATTCTTATATTCAGATCGATTTAGTGTTTCATTAGCCTTAAACATGCACTTTGCAAATGAGATTTCTGATAAAGAATGCTTGTCAAAGCCCACCTGAACGGATGCTTTATTTTTATCTTGCGTGAAAGTTTAGTAAAGCTTATTTTTCTTTTTGTCTACTGTGTAGAGTGGTTTCACTTGAAAAAGAAGTGTTTGATGCTCTCATGTTGGTGAAGGTGAGACTAATTAATAGATCTACTACTATAATTCTGATCATATATGGTTTAATATGATGACAAAGAATTAAAGACATGTTCTAATTTACTACAGAGATTAGGTCGTGATGTTCGGGAGGGGAAGAGAAGGCAGTTCAGTTATATTGGTATGAATTGCATGACATACTTTTCCTAATTTATACACACGATAGGTCTGAATATGTAGTGTTCATTTTTTTGACTTCACTTCTGTTCAAAGTTTTAACTACTTACTACTTCTTTATAGGAAGATTATTGCGTGATGTGGAGCCTGAATTAATGGAAGGATTGATCAAAGCAATGAAAGACAGTGATGTTCAAAAGTTTCAGGAGTTATCTGGTTCAGATAAATTAGGTATCGGAGACGCCAATGAAGAGGAAGAAGAAATCACCGATGAGGAAGAAGAGGAGGTATATTAAATATTATTATAGAATATACAATAAGATAAAATTAATTAGTTAAAAACTTAAAAGAGATTTGAAGTTTAAATATAATTATTGATCTGTTTACATTTCATATCAGGAGTCTTGCGATTACCATGATATAGCAACCAGGTGGTTTGATGGATTAGTTAACAAAGACGTCGATATCACTAATGAGATTTACTCTCTGAATAGCGTTGACTTTGATCGTCAAGTAAGTTAGTCGATTCCATAAATTCAAGACTAAATTACAAATTTGGTCCCTATGGTTTTCCAAAAAATCAAACTTCAGTCCCCGTTTTCAGATTGTCCCTAGGTTGGAATTTGGTTGCGTACAACATGGACTGTATCCGCAACAATAATTAAGGAGGATTCAGAATTTGGATTGAAATTACAATTTTGTGTAAAGCGTAGGGACCAAATTTGTAACTTAATCTAAAATAAAACTTTGTTCTCATCTCGAATAGTCTTGCGTTTCAGGAGTTACGCAAACTTGTTAGAAGTTTCTGCTCTATGCAAGATCGTGTTAATGCCACATCATCATCAGAGGATAATAAAGAAGGAGAAAAAGATGTAGGATTAATGAAAGCTAAAAGACACCTAACACGTTTTCTTGTTTCACTTGCTAAGCAACTACCAACTGAAGAAAACTATATGCTTTAATCCCAAACATATTTTTTACAATATGATGGTGAGGCTAAATTTTATGTATAGATTAATGGAGAGCTTAGTTTGTAAAATGTGAGGTATGAATTGTTATTTTAATTTTAATAAATTTATTAACAGAAAGAGAAGTGGTATTTTGACTTTTGCATGATGTAGGTTGGAAACCCGAGGCTGAGAAGTAAAGCTTTCTCAAATAACTCAAGGTTCGTTTTTATTTATTTATTTATTTATGCAGTTGTAGATGAAATTTGAGTAAGATGAGAAATTCATAGCACATAAGTTCTTCTTGGAGATCAATTATAGTATGTTTCCAGGATTTTATTTAAATTTGTGCTTACATCAATATTCTTTGTTTCTTCTCCATCTCAATGGAGTTGCGCTTCAATGTTATTGGATGACATTTTAAAACCATCATATATTGAAAACTAAAAATGAAAACCCAAGTTTTTTCTCAAACGTTTTCTAGAAAAATGAAAACAATATTCTACAATCGAACGCACCCTTAGCCTCCACAATGGAAGTCTAGTGGTTGAGGTGTGAACTTCCATACATGAGATCTCAAAATGAAAACTCAAACACTTTTTCATACGCTTTCTTTACATTCCATTCTTTGTTTTAAGTTTATACCAAACACATACCTAATGAATTAAAGCGAAAAGTCGCTCATTTTCATGACAAGTCATCACGTCGGAATGGAAAGGAATGTAAAGTTTATAGATGCATCACCAGTTTCTCAAAAACCAAGTAATTACAAAGACGAACTTGTTACTGCTTGGAGACGACGCAAAACAAAATGGATTATCGACAATGAGGTTTCATAAATAAATAATTATAGTGATTATGATTACAAAATTACTCTTAGAACAATTAATTTAATTCTTTATATTATGGAATTTAGGTGGTAACTAAGAACATGTCAAATGACTTGGGTCGGGTTGGTTTGACTTACAAACATTTTGTTTGAATTCATAAGTAATCAACAATATTTGATTATGATGACAAACTATAACAAAGAACAATTGTTTTATTTTTTTTAAAAAAATAATGCACTCTTGGAAGTGGTATATAAACGAGCATGTTTATTTGGAACTATTAAACCAATGAGCCAGTTTATCTTTTTGGGTAATTATTCAATTTCACGTGTTTGATTTGTTATCAGTAAAGAATACATTTTCACATAAATGGGTAATTTTCAAGGCACAAGGCTACATTTTTTTCCTTAAAAATCACTCTAATATCTACCATTTGTAAATTATAATTTGTTAACCCAAAAATGAAGTATAATAAATGTAACCTAAAATAAAAAAGGTATCAACGAACATGTCGTATAGTTGTAGCAAGTATCTTACGACTTTGTCAACTACAGCATAAAATAAAAGAGGTAAAAGACATAATGTCTTTCTCATTATTTAGTAGTACGATTCGCATGGAACCCACAACCTCTTAAAAGCTGCTCATGTCCCTAACATCCAATGTTAAAGCGAACCTACATTATTACAATCAACCAGTACAACATATCATACTATTCAAATGAATATCTAGTTGAGTAGAATCACAATGGATCGCAGTTTCTAACAAAAATCAGCAAAAATTATATAAAAACTCAATCGAAACACTTTCCAACAACATTCAGTTTGAGATTATGGTTATGAAGAACAAGAAACTTAAGACTTAATGTAAGAAAGTATTGAATTCATCTCCTGTTTGTACAAAGACCCAACATTCGTGCTGAGTTTTTTCTTTCTTTTTCAAATTCATGTATTTGTTTGGTTCTACGTTTTTCACTTCAAGCAATTCCAACAAGCAACAATGGCAAAACAGGAAGAAGAAAGGGGAGGGTAGGGGACTATCATCGCAATAGAATGGAAAAAGTGGTGGGATTGCTTGCTTGCTTGTTTAGTCCCTGATTTAACTTTTTGTTGAGTTTATGATTAAAATAGTGTTATTGAAAAAAATATTTACCAATTTAGTATAGTTTTAAAAATATTTACCAAAACTAGTGTTTTTCTTATATATTTTCATTTTTCTTGCTGTTTTTATTTTATTTAAATATCAGGTTTTTTTAATTTCAGTATTTTACATTTTTTTTAAATATCAATTTTTTTATTTTCTTTATTTCAGTTTATTTTCTTTTTTTAACATATGTTTAACATAATATAAAAAAAACACACAATCCCATGCATTATTCTTCAATTAAAAATAAAATATTTTAAGACAATTATAGATTTCGGTAAGAAAAAAAAATGCACCTTATTACTTTCTCTTTTGTAAATAGAAATCAAAATAATAAATAATCTTAGACGGATATATATATATATATATATATATATATATATATATATATATATATATATATAGTTTCAAAAAATATTTATCAATCTAATATAGTTTCAAAAATATTTACCAAATTGGTGTTTTTTTCATTTTTCTTCTGTTTTGCGTTTTTTTCTTATGTTCTTATTTCATTTAAATGTTGTTTTTTTTATTTCAGTTTTTTACTGTTTTTTATTTTTTTTAAATATGATTTTGTTACTTTTTTTAGTATGTTTCAAAAAGTATAAAAAACAAAAAGAGAACACAGAATTTCATGCATTATCATCAATTAAAAATAAGATATTTTAACTTATTACACTATTATAAATGATTATTGTCATCCTTCACAAATAATAACATTAAACGTAGATTTTTTTTCGTTCCGATAGAAATCTTTCTACTAGTAATACAATGTTTAATTTTTAAATGACGTCAAAACATCTAGGTTAAACGTATATTAAAAATGATATGATGGTCTTTTAATAAATTATGTTAGTCATTGCCAACTTTCAATAATACTTTAATATCCTTATAAATTTCAAAATTATATATATATATATATATATATATATATATATATATATATATATATATATATATATATCCGTCTAAAATTAAAAAATTTACATATATATTCAAATTTATATTTTGATGAAGTCTAAATCAGTTTAATATTAAAAAACTTATCAAAAGCAAAACTACTCTTTCCAATTTCTTTTGAAACAGATAAAAACAAACAAACCCATATAACTATATTAGACATAATATTTATAAAAATATTAAAAAGAAAGGCACAACATATCTATTTAAAATGTTTTTTCCTTTTCTTCACTACCTCCTAGGTAATTTAAGTAATGAGGATGAGTTTCGTGAACACAAAGATTATTTATTATTTTGATTTCTATTTACAAAAGAGAAAGTAATAAGGTATCTTTTTTTTCTTACCGAAGTCCATAATTATCTTAAAATATTTTATTTTTAATTGACGAATAATGCATGAGATTGTGTGTTTTTTTTATATTCTGTTAAATATATGTTAAAAAAAGAAAAAAACTGAAATAAAGAAAATAAAAAATTGATATTTAAAAAAAATGTAAAAAACTGAAATTAAAAAAAAACCTAATATTTAAATAAAATAAAAACAAGAAAAATGAAAATATATAAGAAAAACAAGAAAAACACTAGTTTGATAAATATTTTTGAATCTATACTAAATTGGTAAATATTTTTTTCAATAACACTATTTTAATCAAAAACTCACTTTTTGTTTGGGGTTTCTTGATTTCACAGTTAAATTCTCACGTGCCTTGCACACCTGGGGTATTTTCATCTTTCAATGGTTTACCCTTCCAATACAACTTCATCTTCTCACGATTGTGACGAAGATAATATCGATTTTTTTGCCCAGGGAAACAAGCTTGTATTTTGAGATAGAACACCCTACCACTACCAATTACATATAAACGTTTGTTAGTACTTAGTAAATAGCTCTACCAATAAAGTAAATATGAATTTATATATGTAAATTGCATATAGATGTTTGTTACCTTTTGTCTATCTTTTATAAAAGTGAAATTCGAATTAGTGTGCAAACCTAAATCGTCATCGAGACAAGTTAAAAACCAATATAGTTTACTATTTGGTTAAAACGGAATTGTTCGATTGGACATTTTTTACTGGAGTATTTGGTTCAATATTTGGGAGTGGTTTTCAACAAAACAAATTTATTATTTTGGATATCGTATTGGTTTGGTTTACAAAATAAAAACCAAATAGTCCAAAAAAACCGAATACCAATTTATTATTTATTTATTTTTAATATATCTATAATTACTTATTAATTTTGTAATATATTTTTTCAAATGGGTTCAAAAAGTTTCACCTAATACAAAACATATATATGTATTTTATCTCAAAAGTTTTTTATCCATAAAGTATTAAACTATAATATACTTTCTTAGTAGTTGTTTATAAATTTTAAATTACAACTAAGTAATTTGTTTTTCTTTCTTCTGTAAAATTAGATAATATTATAATTATATGTCATTTTAAAATGTTCTAGTTTTTGAAAACCATATTATAAAAACCGATCCAACCAAATTGTAATTGAATTGGATCAAATCAGATTTGAAATTATTTTGGACTATTTGGATCAATGATTTGAAAATCGAAATCAATTTGAATTCATTTGATTGGATTAGATCAAACCAATTCATACAAACGAACCCAAGTCAAAGCCAAATATTTTTTTTGCTTCAACAACACCCGCCAAAGGATATGTGTCATTATTATGTTGCAATTCGTATGTAAGGAAATTGCACATGAAAGTCCAATAAACCAAATCATAACAATAAGAAACTGAAAGACCAAATCTACTTACCACCACTGTTAGAATTTATGTTGAGAATGACCCTTCATGAAAGAACCATCAAGACCAAGAAAGTCATTTTTCTGGTTGTGAACCTAACTTTAAAGCAATAATGAATATGTAAATGCATCTGAATGTTCTAATTTCACACCATGGGTTACTGTAACGTCCCAAAATTACAGAGAGATTTTTCATTTATAAAATATATCAACCAGTTAAAATCCTTATCTAGAAAACCAATGAGTGACATTTGTTTGATTGAGATCATACATTATCAGAGTTGAATTTACAAAACCGTGGAAACGGTATCTTTGATACGTGTGTAAAGTCCCATCAAACTCTTCTCACGAACAACCTACATAACATTTAATCTAAAACTGTAAGCATAAAGTTTAGTGAGTTCCCCAGTATACCACATATTCCACCATACATATAATGCATCAACATAAAATCATCGACTCTAACATTGAGCAACCAGATCTCCTATCCACATAAATAAATCATACGTAACGGGCCAATCCCGACTCACATATGGCCCCCATCCAACCATACATAATGAGCGCAACCCAAACTCCATTTTCGGGGGATACATCCTGGTTTTCTGTATAATTGCCCGAACAGGTGATCCACCCAAAAGTAATAAATGAAACAAGAACCATGCAGTAGGCTTTAGACCAAGAGTTCCCATGCTATCCAACTTAACTACATACAACCCCTAGGATAATCATTCAACAAACAATCAATACTATTATTACCCTAACCAATCGTGACATCTAGCAGTATCACATAATCCTCAGGCGAGACTATATCAGTCTAAAATACCATGACACCAAGTTTCCTACACTACAGATGCATAACAAAGAGTTATCCTAGTCAACTAGCATACCGTACCTAACAGTACCACTATATACAAAGGATATACAATGTCACATGTGGTATATTAAGAAGACTCACTTGAACCGAAGAACCGAAGAAGCACAACAACACTCTCTTGCTCCTTGCACTGATCAGAACTGCAAACCGACTAACACCAAACACAGAACAAACCCTTAGACAACAACCCAAATCCTTAAAGTTTGACCTAATGTCAAATTGGTCAAAAGTCAACGGTCAACCGAGTCAACCGATAACACGATGGGTGACCTCTTGGCTACATCGTGAGCATGTCCAGACAAAACAATCAAAAGGATGAACCCCACCATGACGTAGTGACCTTTTGGCCACGTCGTGGTTACTGCCAGAAACCATTTTTCTCATTAATGACTTAATTCGTTAAGTCATTTGCTCATACCTTCCAAAAGGGTTCCTTACCTTCAAATGAACTATAAAAACCCTTACTTTATGGATATGCATGTCCAATGGATGTCACTCTCAAGACTAGGTAAAAAATAGTTAAGAAATAGAGTCAAAGCTTCATGTATCGCACCAATCATCATTAAAGACTAGATCTGAATCATATGATGACCAAGGGACCCCAGGGAGTGATAAAGTAGCCAACTTTTTCAAAATCAACCATTCATAACAACATAAAATGAAGGAAATGAGTTCAAAACCTAGATCTACAAAAAGTAAACCAAAAAGATGAGAACTTGGAGGCTTATAAGAGTCAAGAAGATGCACCATGAGATTGAGATGAGCTTGCTAGCTAATACTTAGCTCAACAAAGCCTTCCTTAAACATTCAAGTGACCAAAACACCATTAAGATCTCAAAGGATAATATAATAGGTGTAACACCCAAAAATCAAAGCAAAATTTTTCATTTTTTAACAAAAAAAAAAATCATTGTTTCAGATAAAAACCCAAACCAAAACCAAACATTTACAAAACATTGTTCTCAAAAGTAGAAATCGCATATCAGAGTGTCCTAAATCAGTATCATCAAAACCAAGAAGATGTGCGTGATCACACATTTACTTTCCTACGGTCATTTGAAGTACCTAAAACATAAAACTGAAACTGTAAGTCAACGCTTAGTGAGTCCCCCAAAGTACCCTGAGTCTATAATATGAGTCTGGATTGCCTTCTGATGCACAACTCATGTCTGGCTTACTCCTGATCCCACAACATAAGTCTTGCTTGCCCCTTAGGCCTACAACTTATGCCTGGCTTGCTCTCAGGTTTGTTGGCTTCCTCACAAAGCAGCATCGCCTTAACCCAACCATACAATGATGAAATATACATTACATATAGCATATATCAAATAAACAGATAATCATATGACCAGTCCACAGACTTACAAACAGGTCTACAGATCACTATCGCATAACAACATTCTATATACTAGGATACATAATCTAGTGGGCTGGAATTGGTGCCTTCGACCCACAAATACAACGAGTAAAACTCACCTCTCAGTCTGAAAAGATAGATGAACAGGACACTGCTCTAAATTCCCAAAATACCTTTAAGTCAAACTTGATCAACCCTGGTCAAAGTTAAAGTCAAAGTCAACGGGTCAAGGAGTCCACTTGGTCCACTAATTTGAGTACGCGGGGCATACTCAGCTACTACGCAGGGCATAATCCTGCCTTGACCGGAGTCGGGAGTTTGAATACATACGTGCAGTGTACGCTCAGAATCTTCTTTTTTCCATAAGAGCTTAATGCGTTAAGCTCTCACATCCAACTTTCAAATCCAAGGCCAAAATACCACTAAGAGTCATAAAGTTTCCAACTTTATGACTTTACATGTCCATTAAGTGCTTAATACACAAAATCCCAACTTCTTAATGCCTTAAGACCTTCTAGAGCATGCATGGATAAAAACTAAGCATCAAGACCACATTTTTATGACTCAAGACCCCTCATAAGGTCCAAAAGGACAACTTATTTGGTTAAGAGTATACCATGCTCAAGAATCACCATATTTGGGACTAAAAGTGCCCAAAATGAAGAAATGGGTAGATCTATAAGATAGGGTGATCAAGTTATGAACTTTTTACCTCCTGGAGGTTGCTAGCAAGGAGATAATCTCATATCCAAGTTGCTTTCAAGCTCCAATTTCTTCTCACCGCCTTACTCTTCTTCAAGAATGCCACAAAACACAAAGATAAGCTCAAGATGCACTCTTCTTACTTAGGGTTAGATATAGGGCCAATTTTCTCAGATGGAGGCTGGTGAGGGAATGAGAAATAAGAGATAATGATGCTTATATTTGGAAAAAAAAACCCTAAAAATTAGGGTTTGAGGATTTACCACGTATGTTGGGTTTGAGAACTTACCGCGTACGCCCAGCATTCGTGGTGTACACCCAGTGTACTTAGGTCCGCCTGAGTACACCTAACATACACAACGTATGCTCAACGTACTACCCTCCTGGCTAAAATTACCAAAATGCCACTATGGGCCATTCTTGCAATCTTTCTCAAACCTAAGGGTTAAAATGCAACATTATTTCATACTTAGGGTTAAAATTGAAAATACCTCATCATCAGTATGTTACAGTAGGTCCCTTGAATTAGATGCTTTAGGGATAGAAAGTGAGTATAACGAGAAAGGGTAATCGGATTGAATGTTTTGATGAAAATATATAATTTAATTATAGTGAGTTGAAAACCCTATATGCTCACCAGATCTCCAAGACTAACCACTCAGTTTCTTGTACTACATGTAGTGGCACTAGAGCACAATTGTGATGTTATGATGACCAATTTATGGATGCTTATAGGTTAGTAGTTTAGATAAAATAGTGTATGGCTTGTATTATATTCGTTTATGATTATGTATTGTATTGACAATGACATTCCAACGTTTTCAATATAAATAAAATACATTTATTAAAAAAATGCTTTGATATTATTATTATCATGTTTTTTGGAACAAATTTCGTAATATTATTCTTTAAAAATGATACTCTGATTTTAAATAAGCATAAATAAATCAGTATTTTCTGATCGTGAAACGGGGATGTCAAAACCTATTAGAATTATCCAATCCATTGTGCAAAAGTGGTTCCATTGTTTCCAAATAAATGGGTAATTGACATAAGGTATATGTTACTATCTAAATCATTGTCCAATTCATTCTCCAAGGGATTAGTGGGTGTAGGACCATTATCCAAATCTTTGTCTAACTCCACAACATGTTCATTGTCCAACTCCACAATAAGGTCATTGGCTAAATCGTTGTCTAACTCATTCTCCAAGGTATCAAAAAGTGCAGGGTTGTTATCTAAATCGCCAAAAGGTAATTGAAAGTAATATTAAAGCATATTACCTTCTCACACATACCCTAGTTCTCCCATCATTTCATCAATGTCATGAATGGAGAAGGTATCCATGTATCGTAAATCAAAAAGTGCAGGGTTGTTATCTAAATCGCCAAAAGGTATTTGAAAGTAATATTAAAGCATATTACCTTCTCACACATACCCTAGTTCTCCCATCATTTCATCAATGTCATGAATGGAGAAGGTATCCATGTATCGTAAATAAACAAATTTATTCACATGGATATACTTCCTTTTCGAGGTTTAGAGTTCACTTTAAGTTTTATTTTAAACTTTTACAATCAATAACAAACAACTAAAAGTTGGTGAAACATACCATATCATTCACCAACATCAGTTTTTGTCATTTGAGAATGAATGTGTCATATTACCATTGCAATCTGTCAACCTTCAAGTCGTTGTACTTAGGGTTTTCACGTTAAGATAATCGTAATCGTGCATGTGATTGGTATACGACTATGTGTAATGGAGAGAATGACAACACAATAACTTAACTCTTCTATTTCTTAAAGCGGTGGTAGTATTTCATGAAAATGAAAATACAAAAATACCCTAATATGCTAGATACATAGGGGATTTTAACTCTAAAACCAAATTGAGAATTATATTGAAGACTAGACACGTTACAAAATCAAACATTGAGAATCGATTGGATTAAAAAAAAAATAAGAGACTAGATACACGTTCATTTCCTAACCACATGGACCATTCTTGTACTTCATACTTCATCTTAATATAAAAATGAAAACAAAATATATAATAAATAAAAATATAATAGTCAATTTATTTGGACTCAGATAGTAAAATCCAAATAAAATAAAACCATAAAAATTACCAATAGTAAAATAAAACATAGAAAAGTTAAACTAAAGTACTAAACTATAGAAATGATTTTAAATGTAATCTACTCTATTTATTATTTCTACTGTAGTCCCACGGACCATTCTGTTCTTTCTTTCTCTCTTTCTAAAATGCTCACACCAAATCAACACCGTCAACAAACACACCTTCTTCACATATTTCATGTATTCCTCGTCACTCATCTCTAGCTTCATCACACATTCTGTTTATCTCTTTCGTTAGGTTAAACTTCAACCTACCTACACTACACCTTCTCTAAACTCTAATCCATGTCAATCAACTCAATAGGTGAATTCAACGTCTCATGCTCTGCATTTCCTATTCTCGTTTCTTAAACTGATGCAGTATATATCTACCTTCTTAACTTAACTTAAGTACTTAACTTAAGTCTAACTTTCTTCTTCTTCATCGTAATCGAAATCGCAAACTGCATGTTATTGGAAAACGTGCTTCCGTAAAGGTAATTGAATATAACTAGTATTTCCTAATTTATCGAGTTTTCCCCAAATTGATACTGGAAACTGCGCATCATTTCGGTCCAATCGATTCTCTTTGAATCGGTATTCATTTCAGGTTTTCAGTAGACAGTAGTATGATAGGTCTTGGTGGTTGATTTCGAGAGATTGTGGGTCCGATGAATATTAATTACAATTGTGATAGAGATAGTGGCTCAGTATTATGTCAGCTGGTGCCATTCTGTAATAATTACGTCTACGATCATCGTATACATTGTGCAATCATATTATTACCTTATATGAGTGCTAAATCTGAACATTGCTTAACCATATATCCTATTTTGAGGAAATTCTTATTTTGGATGGATGCAGGATTCTGATTCTTATTATATACTACTCTTGTTGCTTTATCAAGCTCCTTCCATGGACGATTACATGCTCATTAAAAGCCATCTTTCATTGGATTTGGATGATCAACTCATGAATACCCAAACCTTTGTCATGAAAATGGTGGAAAATGTAGAAGATCCTTATTCTGTGTGCATTGAAAAAGATGTAGATATCGAGAAGGGGAAGTCAGAGACACCTGGAATCAATCAAGAAACTGTTGGTGACTTAAAGAATGAGGAAGGACAGATGGTGAGTCAAGAAAATTATATAATATGAATATTCATACTGTTTGTTCAATTTGGTCTATATAAGCATTAATTATCTCCATCTCCATGCAGTTGCTGATGAATAACAACCTGATCTTACCCAAGTTCTCTATTCGAGGTACTTCACCATATTAATTTATATCCATTTTTTAAATTACCAAATTAGAATTCATGGATCATAAATGGTGGATTTTAGTCTGTTTTATGATTATGCGCTTAATTCATTTGATTCCTTGATGTAGAGGCACCCAGAATGAGGAAATACAAGCGTTCTTCTTCCTTCAATTCAAGAAAAGTTCTTCTTCTGTTCTCAGTATTGTAAGTTGAGAATCTACATATTATGCTATTATTTCAACATTCTGTTTATAACTAATAAGACTATAAATCAACAAATGAAAAAAGAGAATTATGTAGTCTTAACATTTTTGTTTTTGTATTTTTCAGGTCAAGCTTGGGAACTATTATACTTATATATCTTACACTCAGAATTAAACAATTTGGTGATTGGTGATGCCTCTATCCATTCCATATATAAAAACTTAAACTTACTTTATATTCATTCACTTAGAGAATGTTAGTTTAGGGTTGTGTTTTTTCATCTGCTAGGATTGTTTTTGAATGTTTTGAAGCATCTTGTGCTTTCAGATGTAGATAACTTGAGGATAGTGTCATGTATGTATAAATCTAATTAATATAAATGTTGTTTTTGTGTTAAAAATATTTGTTTTAGAAAAACTATGTGACAGAATGTTTTTTTTTTCTAATGTAAATGGATTTTTATCGAGTAAATATGACCAATGTGTTTCATTAACAAGATTGATGAAAGTGATTTAAAAGGTAAAGATATATGGCTTCTGAAAGTTGAAAAGCAAAGTTATAAATTCACGATAAGAATATAAATGACAACACAATGATTCTAAATGAGTAAGTGATCAGAAAAGGAAAAAGGGGTGTAAAAGTAAGCTTGTAACTTCAGCAACACAATTGTTGTCAAGCATCACCAGAGGCAAAAAAAAATAATAATAATAAAAAAAAATTATGATGGGTGGGGATTGTTTTTTTTTAAATTATTATAGTTTTGGAGGCAATACACATAAAGGACATTCAAGTATGTTAAAACGAATCAATAATGTTTATTCAACTTTGAAATTTTCAAATAATGTCGGCTGACTTGACTATGGTATCATTTATATTAGATTCCTCACAAAATAACAAAAATACCCTAACTAGTTTTTGTTTGATGGTCAAAACGTAAAATTGTAAATTTTGATGGCCAAAAGTAAAAAAAAAAATCGTGTGAATAAAAAACACCTCAATAGAGACAAAGTGGAAGGAAGAGAGAGAAGTTCTCTCGCTCTTTCGTAAGAAATTGAAGTATCATCCCTTTATAAAGTTGGAGGGAGTGGTGCTACAAGAATACCTCGGCTGACTTGACTATGGTATCATTTATATGGGTGGTTCTAATTGTGATTTCTAATTTATGCTTAAAGGTTCGTTTGATAGTTGCTAACTGGGTTAGAACTGACTGAGTTCTAACTGATTTAAATTCTGACTGAAACTTGTTGTTTGATTTTGCATGTGAAATGATTATATTACCCTCAAACAATATTTTTATAATATTTTTTTTATATAATTTACCATTTAGTTTATAACATTACATCATGAATATATACAAAGAATTTCAATGAAAAAAATTCATTACCAGTTTACCACTTCAAAATAGCAACAAAGAATGTATGTGTGCTTGCTATATGGAGTTGTGATATTTGCTTTCAGCTTTTTGTGGTATTAAGATTGTGTTTTCAGTTTGATCTTCTAACTAAATTTGCATTATTGTTTTTGTCATCTTGCCCTTTTGTATCTATGTTGATCTTCTAACTAAATTTGCATTATTGTTTTTGTCATCTTGCCTTTTTGTATCTATGCACGTTTTTTCTTTCTTCCAATTATAAAATCTTCCAATGAAACCAATAAACATAAGCCTGAATGTCTACCTTTGTACATAAAACTCATATATTCTAAAAAGTTCAAAAAAATTGTTGATATGAAGAGTTTAACTCATTAACTCCAAAAAAATATCAATATCAAAAGGTTTAATAAAAACAAAATTCTCTAAGATTTTTTTTTTTTTGAGCAATCGGAGTAAATTCGTAAGAAATTGAAGTAATTCGATTCAGCGATGGAGTGTTGGACGCAGCTAAATATTGAAATCACGAAACAAAATCATCAAAATCAAAATCTAATTCATTGACGAAGACAAATCATTAAGTGGACGAATTCTTCATCCATTTTTTAACGATTGGCCACAAACTGTTCAAGAGCAAATCATAACCTAGACGAATTCAGTCACATCAGATGCACCTTTTGACTTCTCTTTGAAATTGTCAGCCGAAAACGATGAAACAAACCACGTAGAGAAGAAATCTATGGGGAACAAGAGTGTGTCCATTGAAGAAGACGATGGTGGTTGAATAGAGCGAGAGCAAATTGGAGCAACAAATCGACCAAAAGCGATAGGCAATAGCTTTCTTTGGTTTCTCTAGTGGAGGCATATGCCAAAATAATAGAACAAAATGGGAATTTTTTTTTTTTTTCTCCCGGTCCATCAATTGGAAAGCAATGACCGAATTTGTTGAATTTATTGGACCGAGTCCCTCATTCTCTACTCCATATCAAACATAACAATTGGTTTTTTTGGACTCAATCCCTCTTTGGAGTGTTTGGACTCAGTTTGACACTATACTAAAATTGGTCTTGTCTGCTTTTTTTCTTTTTCCCTCGAAGTATTAACATAACTTCGATATATATATATATATATATATATATATATATATATATATATATATATATATATATATATATATATATATATTATATATATATATATATATATATATATATATATATATATATATAAAACATAACGACACTTGAGGGAGCAAACAAAAACGAGTTTGTAAAAAAAGTAGAATCTTAAACGGAAAAATGTCATTTTCCAAACTTTTTACATCAAATCGTTTTGAATGACATTTGTGAGGCCTCTAGCAAGTCAAATCGAATAGCACTTAAATACAAAAATAAATGAAACCCAATCTAGAGTCTGAGTCTAGACAACACACGACATAATGTTTAGCCAAAAAAACACCACTCCATCTTACAACACTTTTCCAACCTAAAAACAAACTGTACATGTTCATTCATTTCCCCCATTAAACATTTTTCCAAAACTTTCTCCTAATCACCTCCCGAATACCACCACTATTGCTGCTGCCAGTTGTACGGCTGGTTGCGGTTACCCCCTACATTAGGACCTCTACCCCCACCACCACCACCACCACCACCACCCGCCCCAGACCCACCACCATACGGAACATTCTGCGTATAATTCGGTGGCGCATAACCACCCGAAGAACCCCTGGGCCCACTGACACCCGGCGCACGAGGCTGCGGAGGATACGGCCCACCACTAAACCCAACACCACCTTGACCCGCTGACCGATCCGGATAATACCCGCCACCACCCACGGTCGGGTTAGGGTTTCCACCTGGCGGGTAGCGGTTGGGCCCAGCTGCGCGAGGCTTTCCATATTGATGGTGGCTAGGTCCACCTGCGGTCAATGGAGGTTGACCCGGGTTGTTTCCCATCGGGTGGTTGTTATGCCCGCCCGCCCAGTGCTGTGGTTGGGGTTGACCGGATTGTTGGACAGGTGGCAATCGCGCGTGCTGCTGTGGGTGTTGGACTTTCTGTCTTTTTGCCATTTCTTCGTTTTGTCTCTGTTGTTGTCTTTTCTTTTTTGTTTGGAATTCATGCGAGGATTCATACTTTGGCAGACTGATCATAACATCAACAGCACAAACACACATGACAATATGACATGATGTCACTTATATGTAAAAGACGAAAATAGCCCTAGAAAACTTATCAAATGGAGACGATAAATACCTTTTTGGGTCACAAGGCAAGGGATCAGTCCAGAAATATTCAGCATCCAATGCATCTTTTGCGGAAATCCTCTATTAAAATGGTATTTAAAAGTTAGGAAGAAAATGTAATAATAGAAATTAGAGTGAGTTTGTGGTGGAAGAGAAAGAAAGTGTACTTGTGAAGGATCGAGAGTCAACATCTTCTCTAGTAACTCAAGGGCATTACGGTCAAAGCTGTGGATAAAAATTGAAAAGAAAGCAGAATAAAGTTGGAGTTATTGTTTAATTAAAAAAATAAAAATAAATGGAGAGAGCTCAACTGTCTGAAAACATCCCTGACTCGCCTCTTCATCTGCCTGCTTGGTTTAAACTTGCTGTACCAAGGGGTTCTTGAAACTCCGGGCCAGTTTATCTCATCAGGGGACCCACAAAGTTCATATATCTTGTTCAATTGTTCAGGCTGCAATATATTTATATTTTAACAAAAAAATTAAAAAAAAAAAAAGAAATGTTGATTAAAAGTAACCTCGTTTTTGCCAGTTAAGATTGGTTTTCCATGCAGAAGTTCAGCAAAGATACAACCAACTGACCACATATCAACTGATGGACCATATCTTGTAGCTCCAAGTAGCAATTCAGGAGGTCTGCTCAAATTCATAAACACTCACAATTGAAATTAAATTTATTATTATTAATATATAAATGTATAGTATAATTAAGCAGGTGAGTTACCTATACCACAAAGTAATAACACGGTTTGTGAGATTTCCTTTATGATCTGTAGAGTATGAACGAGCTAACCCAAAATCAGCAAGCTTTAAGTTCCCCTCATTATCAATCAGAAGATTAGAACCTGAATAAATGCTTATTATTATTTATTGACACTAGACTCTAGAGAATTCATAATTAAAGAATTAATTCCGGAAATAACCTTTTATATCTCTATGAAGTACTTGATTCACATGACAATAGTGAAGACCTGTGAGCAGTTGTCTCATATAACACTGCAACAAAACAAAATACTCTCTCACCATTCAGTAAAAAAAAAATTTTTTTTTTTTTTGACACATCACAACAACTCAAAAACTCCTATAAATAAATTAAAGATATATTAATTACCTTGATCTGGGGGATTGTGAATCTAAGTCCAGGGCGATCAGAAAGTCCTGTTAAATCATGATCCATGTATTCAAAAACCATGTATATACTACCCTTGTACTTGTGTCCACCTGTAATTTTTTTTAAAAAAAAAATTATCATACATAACAATTAACAATTTAACATCAACACAAAACTAAGAGAGATATAAAGAAATACGAAAAATGAAGATAATCAATCACCTGATTTCCCATGTTCATCCACCTCTGGACCTTTAAACACAACAGATATATTGAAAATAATAAGTCAATGGTCATTTGGTCAAAGTATTTGTGAATAAAAAAAATGGAAGTTAGGTACCTGATGAAGTCACAATCTCTTTTAGCTTGATGACATTTTCATGCTGTAGCTTTTTTAAAATTTTAATTTCACGAATTGCAGTGATGGGGAACTGTGGAAAGAAGGGAATAAATAATGAAAAGAAAATTAAAAGAGTGATAATTGTTTTACAAGAAGTGATATCTCATATCTAAGAACTTTTACATAAAAATGGATGGAAATAATGAAAGAAAATATACCCCTTCTTTTTCATTGTCCATACGTATCTTCTTCAATGCAACAATTTCACCAGTTTTTATTTCTCTGGCCATGTATACTTGACTGATAGTAAAATGGAAAAGAAAAACAATAATAAGTGAAAAGTATAAACAAAGCCTTAGATCAATATATTTATTAACTTGCGAATTAAGATAAGAAAAAAAAAAAGGTAACAGATAATAAGAAAAGATGATAGGAAAATAACTAATAATCTATTCTTTCAAAATATTCATTAAAAAGGCAAAACACCCAGATTTGAAGAAAATCAGGATCCCTTTTTAAGGCTCTGGAACATTTAGATGCATATTTAATTGGATAAACTATCTTTATACAAATCATTTAAGAAAGCAAAGAAATTGAATATTATAAAAAACCAAGACACCTTAATTTTTCTAGATTGGCATTTCCAGCACCTAACAAAAGAAACTTTCATTAGCAATGGCATCACAGATGAAAAGGGGAATCATTCAATCTTCCCTTAAAAAGAGCATGAAATACACATTTTCTCAAAAACAGTTCCCAAATGACCATTTTTTGTATTTGGATCTGTTTTAGGTCTCAACAAGAATCTGATTCCTGCAAATAACTTTAAGAACCCAACTCATTTCCATGTATTATTGTAATAGTAGGATTCTTAGAGTCAGCATTCCATCATCAACCACCAAATATTAGCTATACATATATGTTTTTTCTATCCAAAATTGGTGATATACTGCTAATGTGTTGTCTTTTTAATGTTGTTACAACTCTATGATTATCGGGTGTTTTTGCGCATTCTTAAAGATGAAGATCTAAATGAAATGAAACAGATAACCTTATATTACTATAAATCTATAATAGCACCAAATTGATACATTTAAGGTAATGATACAATTTCAGCAGTCATATAGATCTTGTTTCATCATGTTAATAACTAACCAACAGTTTGCACAAAGGAATCAAGATTTTATGATGCCGAATTTGATAATTTCTTGAGCTATTTGAAGAAGAACACAGTAATTCCCGCAAACCTTGAGCATCTTTTTTCATAATTAATAATACATATGCTGACATCAGAGACACCATCTATGATCTATTAAACACAAATACACAAGGACTTGTGAGTGTAATCCACTTGACACATAGACTTCTCTACTCCTATTTATGCCTTTCTATAGCAAGTTAGTAACTATGATTAGCAAGACTGATGGCTGCTTCTAAGTTTCCTCCTCTATGACTAAACCAGATCTATCTATTATTTAGAATACCTTTGAATTCGAGTAAAGAAGTTGCAGTTTAATTTGGAAAAATGCAATACTGAAATCAATTCTGTCGCATAGCATCATCAACAACTATTCTATTCTATTCTTTGTTTGTGCGATCCGGTAAATGTACTTTGCATCTTTTGATTCTTTTCCTTTGAGAATGTCAAATCCACATCGATAATCAAGTTCAAATTAAGCCCTCCACATGTATCCTTTTCCCGAATAAAAAGGGTATACACATAACTATCAAGTTAAATTAAGCAGCAAGTACTTCAACACTAGAAATAATTATGCACAATCGGTAAATCGGAACCATATATACACAAATAATGAGTCCAGAGATAAAAAGATGCATTAATTCAATAGGGGAAAAACGATAGTATCACAAAAGAAGAGAATGCTGTGATTAGGGCAAGAAATTTTTTACCCGTATGTTCCTTCACCAATTTGTTCAAGCTTTTCGAAACACTCTACGCTTCGAGAACCCCATGATGGCGATTCTTCGAGATTAAGCTGACCATATGCCGCACCAGCCATGGCTCCCCTTTCTCTCGTTACAGGAGAAAGGATTTTGTAGAAACGGCAGCCTGATGATTTGCGAATTCTTTTATACGTAATCAGTAGTGCGCATTTATATGTAGCAAATGTCCAATCTAGGTCAACCTCAAATAATAATATTTTATGCCCAAATTTGATAAAATCAGTTAAATATATGTAATGGGATTTTATTTTTTGTGTAGTCTATTTAACATCGTCCCATTTATGTCTATCTACAACAGTATTAATTGTTGTACATTCTTTCATAATCATCAACCATCTTTCTATCTATATATTTTATGTGTCATCTACCCACACTTTATCAATCTACATAAGATCACACAACATATCGGTGCATCTTTCTCATGTGCCTATCACAACATTAGAGATGTAAATAGGTCTGGAACCGAAAGAATCAAAAACTGATTAAGGCGTGAATGGGGAACCGAGAACCAGGCCAAATACCACTAATCGTTTACAACCGGTTTTCAGTTCTGTTATACTAGGAAATGTGTTGTCTAAGAAGGTGTTTGGTACCTAAACCAGCCCAGACCGGTACCGAAAATTGAAAATGATGAAGTGGGGGGGACCGGACCGAATACCACTAATCGGTTCCAACTAGTTCCGTTTCGGTTTTTCAGTTAAAAAACTCATATATACACAACATCATGACTTATGTTGTCTTGATCAATCCTCCAATAAAACTATCATCACGTGTCATGTTGTTTTTGATGAGTCTTTCCTACCTTTTGGGTCTGTAAGTATGTCTCAATCCTTATCTTATGATTTTCTTGACTTTTTGATGAGTTAATCCTAGTCTTTTGATCTGAGACTATACCTCAACCCCAATCTCATGATTTTTTTTGATGATTTCACATACTCGGCACATGTATCTTGTCGATTACTCGAGTCACCCTAAAGTAGCCTACAACACCCCCCCCCCCTCCTCATCCTCCTTATCGACTCTCTTCACACCATTTCCCCAAACCCAACATATGATACATCCTCGACCTATATTTCACATATAAACTTTCCCCTATCAAGATTGTATACTTTCCTTGTCGCCTCTTAAGGCCCAAAACACCATTGTTGACCTCCAAACCGTCACACACACACACACACACACATATATATATATATATATATATTATGTTTACTCATGACAAACATGACATTATTAAAAACAATTTAGTAACTAAAACTCCACAACACTACCATGTCCTTAGGACTTCATTCATTTTTATAGGCATTATAGGATCCCAAATGGATACATGCCATGAGCTATGAGTTATTGACATGTATATCTAACGAAACTTAGGTCCTTGTTCCTTGCCCCACTATAGTAAATGTTGCTCGTTGATGTGGTTGTTTACATAACAACTCAATATATATGGTTTTATTAGTATGATACAAAGCATGTTTTGTTTCCAATGGTAAGAGTTGCATGATTCAACATTAATTTTGATGTTTTTTTTTAGCCTAGCTCTTCAGGTGTCAAACTGACTACAATATATGCTCAGTTCTCAACCTTGCAACTACCTGGTAATGCTTGATTTATCAGCTCGTTATGAAGAATGTTTGTCTTCACGATCACCTTCACGACACAATCCCATGTGCCTTAAGGTTTCAAGATCCAAGGTTTCTACTCATACATGCCACTAATTTATTTTTTTATAAGTAAATAAAATAATGTGAAGTAAACGGAACTATTAAATTAAAACCACTACATTGGAGTGGTGTACCCATCATGTAGTAGTATATCTTTCGTAAGACCGGACGTCAGAACCACATGGAAGACAAATAAAATCTTGATACTTGGTATATAGAATTATGTCTTGAAAATAAATGAAAATAGTTGATTTATGTACAAAATAATAAAATTAATTATAGAAATTAATTAAATGGATTTATGTTAATGAAATTTAGAGTTTCAAAGTCATTAGAATGATTTATTAAGGATAAATCAAGGTTTTACGTAGCCAGAGGCACTACTAAAACTGTTAACTTTGTAAAACTTAAGCATTTAACCAAAAAATTTCCTAACTAACCTCTTTGAAGACCTTGTTAGAAACATTTCTAAGAAGGGTTAGATATGTAAATATATGATATGAAGAGACTAGTCATTTAAAATCAAATGTAGGTCGAAGTGAGAATAGGAAAGTTGAGGGTGTTAATTATTAAATGCCTAAGAGTTCAAAAGCTAGTCATCATCTCCTCTTCACCATTAGAGCTTCAAAACAAGAAAAAAGAAAGATTAATCCATTGTGATTTCAAACTTTTGAAAAAGACTAAAGCCATGGTGCTAGACTTGAGTTTGAGGCATTGGAAATGTAGAATCCATCTTCAACCTCTTAATACTTTGAGATAAGATTTGGAGGAAACTCCAAATCTGAAAATCAATCATGTTCGTATTGTTAGATTGAGGTTTCAAGTTAGTTTTTGAGTATTACATTGCTAATCTTACTTCATTTCTCTTACTCTTAAATTGATTTTGAGCACAAATGAGTTTTTTAAGCTTCAAAGCTACATCAATGGTGGAGTCGACTTTTAAACATGTTTACATGAAATTAACGATGATTTTTAACTTTGCTTCGATTTTCTAAACTCCATTTGAGCTTTAGAATCCATCAATGGTTGATAATTGCACTTATCGATCAACACACTTACCAAAACAAGAAGCATGCAATCCAAAGTCTGCTGCAATTATTTACATGTTAGATAATTTCTCCATAAGTCATACAAAGGAACATTTGACCATTTTGCTCAAGAAAATGCCATTACAAAGATTAGAAACAAAAACAAAGGCTCTAGAGTAACAACTAATTAAGCATTAACCAGACAGAAAATGTTTAACTAAAATGCCTAAACATGACATGAATTCAAAGCATCAGCAACCTCCATTTCAACTGAAATGAATCACTCTGAATCATTATCATACCAATGCCGAATAACAGGAAACTTCATATTTGATGGAAATACAAAACCTTTTGCTTCCAAACGAGACACAACCTACCAACACAACAGTAACAAATAACAATACAAGTGAGTGAGAAGAGAAGAGAATAGAAGACAACAAAAAATAGAAATTTTACCTTTGAACAAGAATCCCCAATATTAAGCTCCTTGACATGGCTAAGATTTAGCATTAATCCTTTAAGCATCTCTTCTTCCTCTTCTTCAGACATTGTCTCCCATTGAGATACATTTGTATAATCCAAGTTAGCTTCAACTAAAGAAAATACATTTAGCAACAACAGCTTATTCAACACCGAGTCCTCTTGGATTGTTAGTGATGAAATATTAGGAGCATTGATTTCGATAATATTGACACCAAATAGACTACTAAGATCCATGTATCCTGAGAACACCAACTTCTTAACGCTCTTTGAGGTAATATCCAGACGCCTATAACCATAGCAGTAATTCAATACCAAAGTTTCCAATACAGGACTACCAGATAATATGTTTTCAATCAAATCTTCATCAATGTGCCCCCAAGAAATACACAATCTCCTGAGATTTGTCCAACTAATTGCCCCACTTGGATTCAGTTTGCAGCTGTATAATCTCAGCTTAGTTAAACATGAACTGATGAAAAGATATTCATCCAACAGAACTTCAATTAAGGATTCCCTATTCCAAAACCTCAAATCAAGCTCTTCAACGTCCCGACTTATAGCATAACGAACCCAATTGTTGACTTGTGATTTAAATCGGATATCATAACTGCTACACACTTGGAATTTTTTAAGCTTCAATTGGCGACATTGAGTTAGGGTTTTGTCAACGAATGAAACGAAATCGGACCTTGAGTTGGGGTTTCGGGGGGATTCAGAAAAGATATCATAATAATCTGTATTTGTAAAACTTAGGGTAGGAACCGAAGTCCAAAGATGTTCCCATCGTTTGGAGAGTGTACCTGTTCTAATTGCGTCTTTTGTGGAGGGTAAACGAGAGAGGATTTCATGAAGCAAATAATCAGGCAACACACTAATTCGATCGTCTCCCCCCTCCTCAACGATTTCTTCAAGCTTTAGCCGTTTTGGGGAAATTTTAGGTTGATATTGTCCTTCTTCCGCCATTTCTACGGCGGCAAACAGTACAGAGCTGAGAGCTCTCGTCGCTTTCCCCTGAGAAACTTGAAACAGTACAAAAGTTGAATATGACGGTCTACAGTCTACAACGAATCAGAAGCTTTCTACTTTCTTTCTCAACCTTTAAACTTTTAGCCCGGCTTCACTGTGTATTAACATTTTTAGTCCCTGGAACAACAAACAACCTTATAAAGAAGACTATGTCCGAAATTGTAACATTATATAAAAAATGATATATATTTCCATATTCAAATAGAATTTTAATGATCGATAATTAGCCAAATATTATAAATATAATTTATTTACTACTATAAAACATATATACAATCACATCATAGTTGTAACACTCCAACCCATGTATTCCATTGTTTACCCTCAAGTATTTCTTCTTTGGCAAAAAGGTCCTTCTGTACGTTGGGTGTACATTTGGGTACGCTTAGCGTACGCGTGAATGTGCATTGGGTGGCTGAGGCTCGTACGTTGGGCGTACGAGCATGTACGCAGAAAGTACGTGGCATATGACTAAAACCCTAATTTCTTGACTTGCACCCTATTTAAGCAACTTTATATCATTTGGACCAAACCTAATCATACTCCATAGCCTCATTTCCTCCTTAAACCCTATTTTTGCTAGAACTTTGAGATTTGAGCTTAAAGGTGTGTTTGGTGACTTTTCTATAAGGTGTTCAATAAGAAGAATGTGGTGTTTTAATCTTAATCAAGGAAGGAGTCTTTGGATCCTGCATCTAGAGCATCTTGGGGAGCTTTTAAAGGTAAAAAGTTTGCATCTTGTCTAATCTCCTTGATTGTTGAGTTAGGGTTTGTTAGATTCCACTTTTGAGTCCATAAATCACCTCTTGGGAGTTTGGGCAACTCCAAAGATTAGGAAGATTAGATTTGAGACTCTTGGACTTGTTTATAGTATAAAATGCAAACTTGATGTCTTATTTGGCTCCATGCATGAGTTAAGACCTTTGGAAAGGTCTTAATAAAGTATATTGAGTTGTTGGGATCTTTTATAGCATGCAAAGGCATAAAGTATGCCTTAGGACCATTACATCGACCAAGATCTAGAATTTGAGTGAAGAGCTTGCATATATTAAGCAATTAATGGAATTTGTGCATGAATGGTTTGTAAGATGGACGTAATATGGTGTATGGTGTGCGTACAACCCCTTAGCTCATTACACTAAGCGTAAAGAAGAGGTACGTTAGGTGTACGCTCTCAGAAAGTCTTGGGTCGTTAGTGTATTTCGATCTTTTGAGCCCTAAGTGTTTGGGCATGGACTTGATGGTGTTTTAGGCTTGAATCTATCTTTTATGCCAAGGATGGCATGTTGGTCCTTTTGGGCCTTATAGCCCGATATAGAATTGGATTATAATGCTAGGCCCATTAGTAATGGAAAGGCCTTTGGACCATTATGAAGGGACATGGACTTAGGTTTTGGGCCCATGTCTAGGTCATACCACATTCCTTACTAGGGTTATTTGTATATTGTTTAATGTGAGATTTTGAGCTAGTAGTCAAGCAACTTCTGTGTTCAGCAGATTGAGGTGAGTCTTCTCACTATACCAATGGGTCGAAGGCACTAATGTCGGCCCATTACTTGATATGACCTTTCTATAGTTGAATGTGCAAGGGTTTGTTATTTGGTATGTATTGATTTACGAGAAAACCATGGGCGGAGCCCATGGCACCTGGTAAGACCATGAGGGGGAGCCTATGGCACTTGGGTATAAGACCATGGGGGGTAGCCAATGACATCCTGGTTGAAGACCATAGAGGGAGTCCATGGCATATTTATGTGTATATGTGCATGACATTATATGGTTATGTGTTTTGTGTATTTTGGGAAATCACCAAGCGTTTTCTTACAGTTTTGTTAGGTGTTTCAGGTACTTCTGGTTCAAAGGGCAAGGGTCCGATTTGATGGTGTAGCGTGTACTCTCCAGTATTTCCGCACGAGTTGTTTTGGATACTCTGATCTTTTGAACAATGTGTTTATGTAATGGAATTTTGGAAAACATATATGAATGAGATGTATAATTATCAAATGAAAATTTTTATCTGAAATTTTGGATTGTTACAATAGTAACGCTAAGGATAAACTACTCCTCACAAAGACGATTACATTAGTAGGTTTGATTATAGGTTTTTTAACAATCAAACATGTAATTTTTGGAAGACTTTTTTTTCTTCAAAAAAATGTTTAATTTGTAAACTTGAATGTTATTGTTTGAGTATTATTGTTTGTGTTTGAAGACATTGTAATTATAGTGCTTTATATTATTTCTATTATGTTTTGTTTTCTTAGTTAATATATAATTGAGTTATTTTTCATAAAACTTCAAAACTTTATAATGGGGAAAAATCCCAGATTATCCATTAAGGATCCCATTCCCAATGGAGAAGGGGATGGGGATAGATTTTTAATCCCTGATGGGGATGGGGATGGAGATTCGGGTATGTGGATGGGGAACACAAGACCCGGTATACTCGTACCCTTTGTCATCCCTACACACAGACACATACTCTCTCTCTCTCTCTCTCCCCTCACTCTCTCACACTCTCTCTCTTTCTCTATCTCTCTCTCTCTCTCTCGTGTATGGCCGAATTTTTTAGTTTTTTATTTGCATTCGATGGAAATAAAAAAAAATCCTTTTTCATTATTTTTGAATGTTTACACCTAACACCTAGAACATTATATATATATATATATATATATATATATATATATATATATATATATATATATATATAATTTACCACTATACATGCCAAACACATCTAACATATTATTCACACAAATTCATATACTTTCTCTCAAAAGGGTCACTCAACCACAATGTCATCATTGTTATCTAGTTCGTCTGATTCGATCGTGCAATAAGAGGCTACATTTGTCGGTTCCATCATGGCAAAAACAGTGACATATTTTCAAAACTGACAAGCTCAAAGTTCACGTTTATGTTTTCAAATAAGAAGACCTCCGTTGAAGAGAAATCGCAAAGCCGAACACAATTGTATTATAGAAGACTAATTTGCAAATGATGTCGTGTACGTTGAAGTGTAAAGGCTGCAACATAATGTACATGTGCATCATATTACATAATATGATTCTAGAAGATAAAGGAAGAGCGATATACTACTACGACGAAAATGAAGTTTTGCCATACATCAAATGAGTAGCTTTTGGCCCGCAAGAGTATATGACAAACAGAAGAGAATTATATGATCGTGATATTCGTCACTCCCTTCGTCCATATTGGGTGAAACATATTTGTAGGTGCAAACATGGCACTCAAAAGAAACTGGAAGCCGGTCCTAGACAAACTTAGTTCCAAACTATCGATGTGGAAAGCAAAATCGCTATCATTTGGCGGTCGTCTTAACCTTATCAAATCTGTTTTCAGATCCCTACCAAACTACTATATGCCCCTTTTTAAAGCCCCACAAGGTATCATTGATGAACTCGAAAAGATTAGAAGATATTTCTTATGGGGGCGATGGTGATCTTAAAAAGAAAATTCATTGGGTAGATTTGTCAATAGTTATCGTGCCAAAATCAATCGGTAGCTTAGAGGTTGGTACTTTGATAGCCCATAACACAACTTTATTAATAAAGTGGTGGTGAAGATTGATGAACGATAAAGGAAGTTTATGGAAAGATGTAACATACACGTTTTGAAATCGTGTTTTATAATGAATAATATTGTGAAATACTATGTGAATTTGAGTATTGAATTCTAACAGATATTTTTACTAGAAATGAAGTAAAACTATGTTTGAATCACTCGGAAAATATAGGAAGTCTTATGAGATTCCATTCAGATGTCAAATAGTGAAATTTAGCGAAAATATAAAATTTGAAATAAGTAAAATTTTATTATTTAAAGTTGTAAATAATTTCGTTAAAAACATTTAGGCGAAAACCTCATCTAAATTCGAGTTATAACGAAGAAGTTATGACCAATCGAAGATCCGTGACAAAACCGGCACGATGCCGAATGACATAAGAAGTGAGTTTTCAATAAACTACTTTTTAGCCTGAGTAATCTAAATGAAAGTTGTAGAACTCATTAAAATAATAAACTTTCGTATAAAGAACTCTTAAATCTGACTTCGTATGAGGAAGTTATGATTTTTCTAAGTTTTGGAATAACAGTAGATAGCTAAAAACTCGAAATAAAATCGAGTAATATTTAACCGACACAACCTAAACGAGAATTGAAGGTCTCGTGAATAGTAGTACAACGGTAAAAAGTCTGATAAAAACGGACGTCAGATGAAAAAGTTATGAATTTTTAACGGATTTTTCTGTCCTAGTCTGTTAAAAATAATAATATTAAAGTTAAAGTCAAAATTAGCCGACGAAGTCTAACCGAAAGTTGTAGAATATATTCCCACCTACGCGTGCATATAAAGAATGTAAAAACCGGAGCTCGTATGCGAAAGTTATGAATTTTAGAAGATTGGGGCACAATTTTCAAGAATTTTCGCATGAATAGTGCTGGCCACATCACCGCTCTCACGATTAACCTCGAGTCCGACACGTGTAACCTTCTGATTGGACCGAACCACGGACACGTGTGCGTCCGACGCGCCTCGCACATGTAACGACCAAAATTTCAATAAAATTTAAACTTTTCAAAAACAACCAAATTCATTAAGTTATTACAAAAAGGTTTTCAATACATTTATTATCAGAGTATTCCCAGGTCCATTTCATAAAACATAAACGCGAGGAGCGGTACGATCACGCCTTTGCCTTGCCATAGTCTCCTGAAGAACCTGAAAAACCTTAAACCACAACTGTAAGCCCGAAAGCTTAGTGAGATACCCCCAAAATACCAACCACATATTCCATACACATAACATGCTATCTCATAACGAATCACAGAACAACCATGCGTATTGGGTCTACTGTGGGACTGGTCCGCCTTGTCGGGCCTTCAGTCCACCCTCCGAGTCCAATCATGTCCCTCGA